ACACTCGGTTCCGAGCTGCTGCCTCAGGAGCTCCGCAGACACGTGGTCCGTGCTGCAAGCAGATTTGTGGACCGGGTCAACCCAAGCCCGCGAGAGTGGAACGAGACGCTGCCCAGCGCGTCGGCCCTGGGAGCCCTGGACAGAGCCCTGCCCCCCCGACGACGGGGCGCGGCGCGCTTCTCCCCCGCGTCCGCCCGCCCTCGCCGCGGGCCCTGGCGGGGCGCCCCCCCTCGCAGAGAGCCTCCGCCGCAGGAGGAGGACGCCAAGAAGCCCACGGCCGCGGAACCGGACGCGGTCGGCGGGACGGGCCGCTGGGCGCGGCGGGTGGGCGGGCCCCTCCTGCTCCTCCCTCCTGCTCCTTCCTGCTGCTGCTGCTGCTGCTCCCCCTCCTCCCCCTCCTCCTCTTCCTCCTCCTCCTCCTCCTCCTTGGGGATAGAGGATTTTCCCCTTCCTACTCCCCCGCCCCTCCTCCCTCCTCCTACCCCTTCCTCCCTCCTTCCTCTTCCATGGCGTTTGCCTTTGCCTCCTGTCGCTGTCGCTGTCTGCATCGGGGTTCCTTCGCCTCCTCGCCCCCCTCCTCGTCCCCCTCCGCGGAGGGGAGCGGAGCGGCGCGAAGCCAGCGGAGGGGCCCTCAGCCTGCTCCGTGCTTCTCCCTCTTCCTCTTCAAAGCAGGGCTTTCGCCTAAGCGACAGGGCCAGGGGGCGATCGTCTTTCCGGGGGGCGCTTTCCACGGTGAGAGTAGCTGCTTGTTTGGGAACTTGGCACCGGAGGATGTATTGCGGCGTCGTTGAACATTCCAGGGCTTGCTCAGGTCCTGCTGCTGCTGCTGCTCCTCCTCTTCCTTCTCCTGCTCCTTTTCCTGTTCTTCCTCATTCGAGAGGGTTGAAGTCTTTGGACGCTCTTGGCCCTTCTTGGGCCTCCCGAGGCCTCGGCGGAGGTCTTCGGGGCCCTGCGGGGGTCTTTGGAGATCTTCGAAGATCTCCTGTGACTTCCACTTCGTGTCGCAGCGAAGGGCGCTGCTCGCAAAGAAAGGTGCAGCTCTCAGCGAAAGGCCTCCCCCCTGCGCGCGAAGAAGTGGGTGTAACCGGGGCATCTGGCAGCTACTTCGTTTCCAGATGTGGCCTCTCGATCGCACTTCCAGGGCAGTTCGTTCATCCTGGGTATTTCTTTGATACCCCCGATGCCTGAGCTCGACCCCCCAAGGGGCCCAGAATCCAGGCCTCCCAGATGGGGTCGGAGTTGATGAGGTCGGAGAAGCGCGCCGTGCGGATCGATTTGGAGCCCGACTTCCTCCGCGCCAACAGCGCGATCCTCCGACCCCGTCTGCTTAGACCGCACGTGAGAGACATCTCGCCGAGGTTCCTGGCGCTTGGCCTGCTCTGCAGGGTGACATCAATCAGGAGGAAACGAAACACACATACACAATTAATCCTCCATTCCCCAGAAAATATGGGAAACTATGGGAAGTGGGGGGGAAGACAGAAACCCATTTTTTTCCCCATATCCTAAGGATTGGGGTTCTTGTTATTACTCTGACGCCTCCCACTGCTCCTCCTTCCTCCTTCCTCCCGCTCGCGCCTCCCTCCTCCCAATGATAATCACCAGATAAGACAAGACAAGATAAGATACTACAAGATAAGATAAGATAGCACAATATATGATAAGGTACGATAAGATATATGACAAGGTAGGATACTAGATAAGATAAGACAGCCTATGGAGTAATACGATAAGACAATATATGATGCGATAAGATGAGTTGATATAAGATAAGCTAAGACAAGATAATATATTTCAAGATAAGATACGATATAGGGTAATAAAGGTAAGATAAGATAGGACTCGATAAGGTAAGATGAGACTCGCTCTCACTCAGACTCACTCACAGTCACATTCACTCACACTCACACTCTCTCATGATCACAAAACGCTGCCAGGGGCATCATTTGGGAGCCCCAAGGGGGAGCCACCCTGGCTGATCTCACGAGCCCGTTCGCGCCGATTTTGGTGGGACGTCTCAGCTAAAATTGCCGTTTGGCCTCCCCAACATGTCTCTCTTGAGAGCCTCATGGTCACAAAACGCTGCCAGGGGCATCATTTGGGAGCCCCAAGGGGGAGCCACCCTGGCTGATCTCACGAGCCCGTTCGCGCCGATTTTGGTGGGACGTCTCAGCTAGAATTGCCGTTTGGCCTCCCCAACATGTATCTCTTGAGAGCCTCATGGTCGCAAAACGCTGCCAGGGGCATCATTTGGGAGCCCCAAGGGGGAGCCACCCTGGCTGATCTCACGAGCCCGTTCGCGCCGATTTTGGTGGGACGTCTCAGCTAGAATTGCCGTTTGGCGCCCCCAACATGTATCTCTTGAGAGCCTCATGGTCACAAAACGCTGCCAGGGGCATCATTTGGGAGCCCCAAGGGGGAGCCACCCTGGCTGATCTCACGAGCCCGTTCGCGCCGATTTTGGTGGGACGCCTCAGCTAGAATTGCCGTTTGGCGTCCC